AGGTGGGAATTTTCCACTGTGAAAGAAAACAAGATATCAGGTCAGTGTGAGAAAACTCTTAATTGTTTCAAACTGGTTTTTGGCTACATGCTTGTTTTTGAAATGCTAACTAATAGGGAGGGGGTTACATCCTTGATTGTTTCAGACCTCAAGGCGACTAGGATTCGTCTTATCAGCCTGTCCTTGAAGTACTGAGTCTGCTTTATAGCTAACTTCTACACTATTATTTACGGTCTTGTAAGTAAATTTCTACAATGGTACCAAGGATGACGTAATGGCATCAAGAACAACGTAATGGTACCAAGAATCTTGTAACGGTACCAAGAATGATGTAACAGTACCAAAGATGATGTAACTAAGGATGATGTAACTGATGTAACAGTACCAAGAGTGACATAATGGTACCAAGGATGACGTAATGGCATCAAGGGTGATGTAACGGCACCAAGGATGACGTCACTGCAGAAGTGTACTTTGTCGTTAAGGTGTAGAAGTGAACCGCAGCAGTCACAGGACAGGTTGTTAAAGGTCCGGTTCTGTGTATCCAAGGCGATATACAGAGAAATATTTTTTGGCGGACCCTGTGGTAGGGTAGGGCGCTGTGTCTTGTGCTGGGTCAGGGCTGAGGGCAGCCCCAGGCTGAGTTTGGATGTGGCCCACTCCTGATGACGTGGCTGAGCCTGGGCCATGCACGGGTTCTTGATGGACTCATGGCTTTGGACGAGGGGACTCGGGACGATACAAATTTCCCTTTTAAAACAAAAGCAACAAAAGACAAAACCCTTTGGTCTCTGTTGCACATGCGAGCTCCACCTCGGGGGACTACAACTCCCATCACGCCCCGCTCCCGCAGACCTTGAGAGCAACCATCTGGGGGGCGCACGGCCTGTTGGGAGTGGTAGTTCGGGCGGGGAAGCGCACTGGGAACTGGATTTGGGGGGGGGCTGCTGGGCTCCACTTGGCGGTGGCTGCCGCGGGGCATGCCGGGTGATGTAGTCCCAAATCCCTACACGGTAGTTCGGGCGGGGCATGCTGGGAGGTATAGTCCTCGATCCTCCAGGTGGCATAGAACTCCGGGGGGGGGGGTTGCCGCGCGGCATGTCTGGAGATGTAGTTCCGCGTGGGAAAGGCGCCGGCAGCTGGGAGCCGTATTTCCGGTGGCGCGGGGCATGCTGGGAGCTGTATTTCCGGGCGGGAGAGGCGCGGGTCAGCTGGGAGCCCCATTTCCGGCGGCGGCGCTGCGAGGCATGCTGGTCGCTGTAGTGCCGGGCTCCCAGCAGGCCCCGCGGTGGGTGGCGCGCGGTTTAAACCGGCGGCGGTTGCGCGGGGCCTCTCCCTGGGGCCGCTGAGGCGACTCCACGTGCTTCCCTGTCCCACATTGCCTGCCATGGACCCGCGGGTCTGGAGCCGTCTGCGGCCGGGGCTGCTCATCAAGATCCAGCGCAGCAACGGTACCGGGGGGGAGGGCGTGTGGATGGTGGGGGATGTGCGGGGGTGTGTTTCGGGGCCCGCCTCACCGAGCCCCCTATCCCGTCAGGGGTGGTGCACAATGCCAGGATCAAGGCGGTGGCCCTGGAGACGCTGTCGGTGTCGGTGGAGTGGGCCGAAGGCGGCGCCATGAAAGGAAAGGAGGTGGGTCTGTTGAGTCTGGCACAGCGCCCGGTGCTGTGCGTCTCCCCATGCCCTTTGCGGCGGCAGTAACGCCGGTGTCTTTCCGCCCCCTTTGGCTCTGGATCTGCCCCAAGTTTCAGACTCGCTCCTGACAGTAACGGTGTTACAGTAACGAGTTGCTGATTCAGGGTTCATCGGCGTCTAACTCTCTGTTCCACGAGTGTTTACAGCCCTCTAATTTTACTGGTCTTGATGTGACTAATCACTACAGGACTACGGAAACATCTTTTGAGTACTTTTTGCCCAGTTTGCTGTGTTTTTATACCTTGTATGATACAGCAAGTGAATGCACATGCCAGTAAAATAACACTTGGTTTGCTTTGATCGTAAGCTGAATAATGGGTGTAGTCTCCAGCTTTTTTTTTTGGTCTTTTTTTGTAACACTTTTCATTTCCTTGCCCTAGGAGTCAAATGTGTTGTGTTTGTACGTGATGCACCACGCCATCTGCACTGTTTGGCTGGGAGATGCTGCTCTGAAGTCGCTCTTAAACATTATTTCAATTACAATGAGTTTTAATTCAGTCTTGCAAGCTTACTTATTTCTACATACTCATTTTGGGCCATTTGTTTTTGTTAGGGTGGTCTTCATTTTGGAGGACAAGGAGGCTGTGAAATGCCTTATGGTAACGCTATAACAGGAGCCAGCAGTGTGCCCTTGGTGCCAAGAAGGCTACCGGCATCCTGGGCTGAATTGGTAGGAGCGCTGCCAGCAGATCGAGGGAAGGGATTATTTGCTTTTATGTGGCACCGGTGAGGCCACGTCTGGAGTCCTGTGTATAGTTCTGGGCCCCCACTACAGAAAGGATGCGGACAAATTGGAGAGAGTCTAGTGGAGGGCAATGAAAATAGTTTGGGGGCTGCAGGACAGGACTGGTGAGGAAAGACTGAGGGAACTGCCTTTCTTTAGTCTGGAGAAGAGAAGACCGGGGGGGATTGAATAGCAGCCTTCACCTCCCTGCAGGGGGGCTGCAAACAGGAAAGAGCTGGACTGCCTCAGTGGGGGCAGACGACAGGACAAGGAACAATGAGCTCAAGCTGCAGCAAGGGAAGTTGAGGTTGGATATTAGGAAAAAAAATTCGCAAGGAGGGTAGTGAAGCGCTGGGACAGGTTACCTAGAGAGGTTGTAGCATCTCCATCCTTGGAGATTTTGAAGACCCAGCTAGACAAAGCCTTGTCTGGGGTGATGTAAGTGGGGCTGGTCCTGCTTGGAGCAGGGGGTTGGACTAGATGTGACCTCCCGAGCAAACTTCCAGCCCTCATTGTCTTTGGTTCTAATATGTTCATCAGCAAAGCTAACTGCCCTTTACCATGCATCAGCAGATGCATGACAAATAGATCCAAGGAGGTGATACTTCCCCTCTATGCAGTGTTGCTCCGACCACAGTTAGAGTACTGCATCCAGTTTTGGGTGCCACACTTCAAGAAGGATGTTGGTAGACTCGAGAGGGTCTAGAGTAGGCCACTTGTATGGTCAGGGGCTTACAGGACAAGTCCTATGAAGAGGGACGGAGGGACCTGGACCTCTTCAGCTTCCGCAAGAGAAGTCTGAGAGGGGATCTTGTGGCCACCTACAAATTCATTAGCAGGATGCAGCAAGGGATCGGAGATGCTCTGTTCACCAGGGCGCCTCTTGTGGTAACAAGGAACAATGATCACGAACTGACAGAGAGCAGATTTAGACTAGATATCAGGAAAAACTTCTTCACGGTGAGGATGGCCAAAATTTGCAATGGGCTTCCAAGGGAGGTGGTGCTCTCCTGTACCTTGGGGGTCTTTAAGAGAAAGCTGGATAGACATCTGGCTGGGGTCATCTGATCTCAGCACTCTTTCCTGCCCAGGCAGGGGGTCAGACTCAATAATCATTGAGGTCCCTGCCAACCCTTACCTTACCTCGATCCTGGTTAAGCTCTTTGAGAGAGTTATCCTGGCACATGTCTGTGAGGGGCCAGTGGAGGGAGATTATGCTTAGGGGCAACCAACATGGGTTCATTAGAGGCAGGTCGTGTCAGGCCAACCTGGTGGCCTTCTAGGACCAGGTCACCAAATCATTAGATGGAGGGGTAGCAGTGGATGTAGTCTTCCTGGACTTTCGGAAGGCCTTTGACACTGTCTCTCACTCCGTTCTCGTTAAAAAACTAGGGGACTGTGGTGTCGACACCTACATAGTCAGATGGGTCGCCAAGCGGCTGGAAGGCCGCACCCC